CTGCATAATTCTGAATTTTGTAGTAGGCAGCGTCAGGAGCATGGGAAACAACGGCTGGCTCCGAGTGGGAGGAAGCTGTAATCCCACCATGCCAAGTGCTCCCTGTGTCAGGCTGCATGAGCACAGCTCTGTCTCTGTGCCATTAAGGAAGGAGATACGCTGACAGTGTCAGTGTCAACAAAAGAGAGAGCCCAGAAGTGAGAGCAAACTGTCAGAAAATGATGAAAAAAATATCAGTGCTTGTCAACTGTGAGGAAATAGCGAGGAATATATATAGTGAGACATCGTGTAGAAAGTTCAGGGAAGCAGAAGCAGACTCCTCCAGCCTTGTAAGCTGTGTTCACCTCTAGAGCCCCACCTAAGCAAGTCCTTTCTCTGAGCCTTTGTACGCAGGGGAGGAGGAGAAAGAAGGGGTTCAGCAGGAGGAGGAAAATACTGTTCCACATAGCAGTGGGGTGCATACACGGCTGTGCTGGAAGCAACATCTGAAGTGAGTGTGGAGAGAAAGGGATGAGAGAATGAGGTTAGCAGCAAAAGAGAAATATAGAGGAGGCTGTGATGAGGTCTGCAAATGCGTGTCGTAGAGCAGAATAAAGACAAAGCTAGCATAAATAGAAATGCTTGAGGCTGAGCAGTACCGATAGGAAGTAATCCATCAGTCAGGACTATCAGAAACAATTGGCATGAATTTTGTGCTACTACATGAAATTGAATCAAAACATACAATCAGTGCATGGCAAGAAATCAAAGCAACTGTGAAGACTTTCTATGGATTTATGCAGTTTGCTTTTAACCCACGATAAATTAAACTTACCCCAGTGAAATTTACCCCAGCATCTCAAACATGTGAATTGAAACCTGCATCTGTGGACAAGGATAAGTTTTTCCCTCATTACTTTTCTTGTTTTGAAATGAACAGTAAAACAGTTTTTGATCTGATTTCTGTAAAGTAACACCAAAAAAGCCACAGCTGTAAAATGTTGTGCAGAATGTTTTGGTCGTGTGGTCAAAACAAAAAGCAAAATGGTACTCTTTGCTAACACTGATGTGTGTCCATGTGTGTCTCTGTGTGCTTAAGAGGTGTATGGGTGAATGTGCTGGTGTGGGTGCTACTTTGCAAAAAACTCACAGTATTTACTTAGTTCCAATGTTCTGTTGCACAAAAGATTTTCACAACCAGATAGATAGATAGGCAGATGGTTATACAGGCACATGCGTATTGATGCAAGAAAGAAAATATACCAACCATTCAAGCCTGAGAGCTATTTAACTACCTAAATGTAGATCTCCCCATGAAAAGGTATTTAAGTCAAAGCCATCTCAGTGCATTTTGTATTTTCCAGAACACTTGACATGAAAAAAACCTGTTAGAAAGCCAGGCCAGTGGGTTTTAATTTTGCACTTCTCAAACCAGACATTGATTATTACCTATAGCTGGAGCCTTATGCTGACAGTTAAATGCTGGACTCCTGGAGAAGCTGGCATACTAATACTTACATGCAAAAGGTCTCATTGCTCAAGGGTTCACTTGTTTCCACAGTGATTTCCACTGCATAAGCTCAGTCTCCAGTGAACCAAGCCAAGATTGTCACCTGAAAATTTCAATGTGTGAAGTAAGGTATTGACTGCCGCTGAACAAATCTTATCTTTTTGCTCATAATGGGATAATCTGCAAAGCCATTTCTGTGCACTGCTTAAAAATAAAAACCCATCAGGTATAAGCAAACACACTTGGCAGTTGGCTCAATTTTTAATTATAAGAAAAATATACGTCTATAGGAGAGGACTCTGCAGATGAAGTGCTGCTTCAGATTAAAAAGTATATTAACTGACTTAATATTCTAACCCTAACTCAGTGTTTGTCTGGAAAAACTTTTTAATAGGCATAGTCATATCAGATGAGAATTGAAGTGCTTCTCTGTAATATGTTTATTGGCTTTGAACGCAGCACAACTGATGGTTTGGTCACAGAAACCTGCCAGAGGGCAGCTTGCTTTCAAAGAAAAGAAACAACCGGTGACTTTTCAAGGTAACAGTGAACCTGAGGGTGCACTTACACTTCAGCTTAAGCTGATTGAGGTGATTAGTTTTCAGCCAGACACGGTTCCTGAACCCACACACCACAGGAGCAGGGAAAGCTCAGCACTGCTTTGGGGACTGCAGGGGCAGATGAGGGGTGAGCAGCAGCCCCAGCTCACACTCCTTTAATGCCATGAAGCCACATCCTGACCAGAGCAGTGCAGATTTCTTTCCAAATCTGAAATTCTTCTTTGGATTCAGAACATACTGCATTTTGCATTTGTTCGTACGTTTGATTGCTTTTAATTGGTCTACATGGCCTTTTTTTCCCCTCCGGCAGCAAGTGGCAGCTGTTTTTTTTGCTGCAGTCTCTAGACAGGTACATGCTAGCTTTAATATTTTGCCTGGAATTAGACCATTAATACATCCACAACTGCTTTAAACCCAGGAATGAGTGCAGTCATCCTTCTGCAAGCTTTGCAGAGAGCTAGCTGGCAGGTCAGGTTTAGTAGCCAGAACTGTTTAGATGTCCTCAATTTAAATTTGATCTATTTTTACCATAATGCAGCTAGATTTGCAGAAGCAATCAGTATGAAAGCAGTGTGCTTGCAGATAATGGCAGCTGTTAAGATACAGCTTCTTCTTAGGTTTTAGGCACCTTGCTGCAAGTGAAATGGACATTTCCATAAAGCTTATTCTACCTCAATAAACAAAACCAGCCTCAAATCAACCAGAGAAGAAGTTGTTTTGGTCCAGATCAGACGCTGTTTATCTGCAAGACACCAGACATACCTTCACAGTGGGAGGAATTCAATTTATTCACTGAGGCGAAGACAATGTGGCTGGTCTGTGAAGGCAAACCAGGTATTAAGATATGGCAGGTGCTATGCGTAGCTGTTATGGCAAAAGTAGGGAGTTTCAACCCAAAGTTTTTCCCACTAATAATCTAGTTACAGTTAATCACGGATTATTTTTACAGCAGAGTGATCTGTGAAGGGGGCGTTATGGTGTCTGCCATTGCAAATAATCCATTTGGTTTGGCAGAGCAATCAAGTGTTCTGCATTGAAAGCACACTGCAGATATGTTTCTTCCCAAGCTTCCCACAGCCAGCCTTGTAGATGTTGGCATGTGCCTGAAGTTTTGCTCAGGTCCCATCGAGCTCTCAGCTGAAGCGAGGAAGGCATGCGCTAGCAGCTCAGTGCGCAGCAGCCCATACGTGTTGGGTGGGACACACAGTTCAGCATTTTTATGGGAGGAATCTGCTTCCAGCTGTCTCACCGCAGTTATCATCATTTGGAGGAATTCTGCCACTTGGTTCAGAAGAGATCTTGAACCCAGCAGCAATAGTTTTAATGCCAGTTATTATGTTGTCTAGTGAAATGGACTGGGCACGAGGAGGAGTTCGATTACTCTGTGAGCCTTCATAATGGTGTGGTGCACCGCGTAACCACGCAGGGCGAGACACAGGAGCCGCAGTGCCCTCGCTTTATTAAAACATCAATTATCAAACCAGCAACGTGCCTCTGGAAATGAGATTATCTGGAAGTACCAATGCTTGCAAAAGGCAGAAGCTGGCCTTCAGCCTGGTGCCTGAGCTGACCCCGGGTGAGCAGGTGGCCTGTGATGGCCACACACTCCACCATATGGTATTCTGCAGTGCTGAGCATTGTATCATCATCTGTGGGCTCTGCATTCATAGATCTTTTAATTAGCACAGTGGAAACACGAACAAAAACAGTACATGAAATAGTGGAAGCTTCTGTGCCTATAAAACCATTGCATTTTAGTTTGGCATTTATTCTCTTCTGATGACTGAAATATTTAGTCCATAGAAATTCCACTCAGATAAAAGCAGCCATCTCTTCACAAAAGATAACAAGCAAAGCATCTTGAGATAAAAATAGTCTTGCAATCTCTGCAACTCAGTTGTTCTGTGACCTTTCCATAGACCAGCTGCAAACTAAATCCTCCACCAGCCTTTAACTGGGGAGAAGCGCCGGTCTCCTCAGCTGCTCATTCCCAGACTAGAACTGTTGCACTGGCTGCAGAGCATTCTCTGTAGGAGGAATTTGAAGCTTTTGCAAGAACACACTGTGGTCAGCAGCCTCCATACCAGCTGTCTTGCAGGGTGACAGGCTGCCCACCTCCAGCTGGGAACATGCTGAATTCCTCCAGGTCCTGATGCAACAGGCATCAAGTCAGTGAGGTCATTCTTGTAGCATCTTCTCCAATGCTGTTTGGCAACTTTGCTTGGTTGATAACTTGACCTTCATGGCAAAAGGCAAAAAGCTCACCTTAACTATGACAAATTTACTTACCACGTGACAGAAATACTGAATTCACAAACTAAAATAAGTGGCTATATATATAATGGCTGGGCTACTGTATTGTGTGAAGTCTGATATATCGGTGCATTATTACATTACAAAGAATTAATGAGCTTATATATTTTATGGCACATAAGTCTTATTAACATTTCTGGCTTGGTAAATAAATTGTGGCAATGTGTCATGCTCTTCTACCGTGTCATTTTCCTTTTGTGCTAACGGTCAATTAAAGTGTTAGGACATTGACAACCTCTAACTTTCCCACTCTGCCAGTGCTGAGCGCAACCTTGAAACAATAACATTCAGACCTGGAGAATTTTCTGGCTCATGTTGCATGACACAAAGTGTATGCTTTTATTTGCATGAATGCATAGGTATAATAAAGTTCCGCCCTTAATGGACTTCTGCAAATACCTTTCAGGGGTTGCTAAATTACTTTTGAAATCAAATTTAGCTCCACATTGGTGCTGGATCTCACAAAAAGGGTATGCTTATAGAAACCTGTTCTGACAAACGCAGTTGAAGGTACATCCTAGCACAGCAGCAGCGGGTAAACCCCCTAGATGACATGGTCCTCAGAGGTGGTTGAACAAAACTGCTTTATGTCTTAATTGTTTTTTTGAACCTGCCCTCCCCGTGGTTTGGTTTCACAGGTGCGGTTAGAGTGGCCAACAGACCTGACAGTGAACCCACTGGACAACTCGCTGTACGTCCTGGACAACAACATCGTCCTGCAGATCTCTGAGAGCAGACGTGTGCGCATCATCGCAGGGCGCCCCATTCACTGCCAGGTGCCCGGCATCGACCACTTCATCGTCAGCAAGGTGGCCATCCACTCCACCCTGGAGTCAGCCCGAGCCATCGCTGTGTCCCACAGCGGGATTCTTTACATTGCTGAGACTGATGAAAGAAAGATCAACCGCATACAACAGGTCACAACCAACGGCGAGATCTCCATAATCGCCGGAGCCCCGTCAGATTGTGACTGCAAGATTGATCCTAATTGTGACTGTTTCTCAGGTAAGACAGCGCTATCCTGTACTTTCCTGTTGCTGCACTGTCAAGACCCTCTGGCATAGCTGCAGGTTAGCAAAGCGACAGGGGTAACAGGCTGGTTCAACTTCCTTGGAAAGCAGAAAGCCTTATCAGCAGCTCCGCATGAATTTGTTTAATCCATTGGGTGCAGAGGCATGAGTCTTCCAGCTGGCATTGGAAGAACCTCTGAGTGGGCACAGATTTTCCTGTTTCAATACAGAGATTACACATCATTCAAAATGAGTTCTAAGTATGGTTTTTTATGTCAGCTTTGCTCGTGCTGAAGATGTTAGCAGCCCCTGTGCAGATTGCAGCTGAATACTCCTGGATGTGGAAGCCCTTTTTGCCAACGAGAGTATCAAAATGTTCCACATCCTGTGAAAAGTGCTATCTCACGCCTTCTTGTTGTGCGTTTTTTTTTCCACATAAACCTATTTCATGATGGAACCAAAGAGAATGTTTCCTTACACAGAGGAAGGCAGTACACTGTCATCTTGCCATCTCCAAGAACCACTTTGTTCAGCTCTGTAATGCTATCATAATTCATAAGCCGCCCATTTCGAGTAAAAGGTTAATGACTGACAAGAAAACATAAAGTATGTCAAGAAGGAGAGGAAAAAAAATGTAAATGGTCTTCCAGAGGAGGTGAGTTCCTGACCCATTATGGATAATCAAAATCTCATGAGCTTTGCCACGTGCTTCCAGCTTCAGGTATGGCACTGTCGTACCGGTGCTGAATAGCATCCTGTCCGGGGTTCTGATTGAGGGAATCTACCCTCAGCACACACAAAGAAAAGTACTGTGGCAAAGCTAATGATTGTGCCAGTGCTGGGCTGGTGAAAGGCAGACACCGGTTGGCAGAGACCAGCTCATTTGTCCGTTTCCAAGGCAGCAAAGGATATGCTCAAATTCTCCATCAGATTGTATTTCTGAGTCAGGAGAAAGGGAGCAGTCGTAACAGTAATGTGCTGCTCTCTAAGAGTGAGGCTTAATATGCTTCCTTTCCGATTACATAAAATCCTGTTCATCTGAAGTCATTTAGATACTCAGGTATACAGCCCATGATCATGAAAACATCCTCTTTGGATCTTAAAACACGTAGTATTTATAAGTGCTAAGTACAATTATGATTGATATAGGAGGGGGTATATTTTCAAGGCCTTTTTTGGCTATTAATCTCATTTACTTTTCTATAATGTTGAGATTTTAGTAAGTACAATCTAATCTTTGCTTCCCTTAATTACTTTGAATTACTGATTTTTATTTATACCACAATTCTGCTTGGACTACATATCAGCATGCAAGAAGTAGGAAATGAAACTTCACCTGTCGTTAACATTTTTTCTTTCATGTTTCAGTATGTGATACTTCCCTGAGCATCAGGGCTTTGGAGTTAGTAAAAATGGTCTAAGTTGGATAATTTGTCTTCTAGTTTGTCTTTACTGAGACCGATCCAGAATTGCACCAGCTTTAAATAATGGAGGTTTAATGAATTGGAAGCAGATACTCTCCTGTTGACATATAAATGCTGAGAAGAAGTTCAGCTTAAATGCAGACATTGCAGATTACTAACATTGCCATTCATGTCCCAGGTGACGGTGGATATGCCAAAGATGCAAAGCTGAAAGCACCTTCCTCCCTAGCAGTCTCTGCTGATGACACGCTGTACGTAGCAGACCTTGGCAACGTTCGCATCCGCGCCATCAACCGAAACAAGGCTCACCTCAGTGACACGAATCTGTACGAGATTGCGTCACCGGCAGACCAAGAGCTGTATCAGTTCACCATCAATGGCACCCACCTGCACACCCTGAACCTCATCACGAGGGACTACATTTACAACTTCACCTACAGCGGAGAAGGGGATGTTGTCACCATTACCAGCAGCAATGGGAATTCGGTGCACATCCGCCGAGACACGAGTGGCCTGCCCCTGTGGGTCGTGGTGCCGGGTGGCCAGGTATACTGGCTGACAATAAGCAGCAATGGTGTTCTGAAAAGGGTTTATGCCCAAGGCTACAACCTGGCTCTGATGACATATCCTGGAAACACAGGACTTCTGGCAACCAAAAGTGATGAAAATGGATGGACCACTGTGTATGAGTAAGTCCATGGCATTAAATTTCTGACATAAGGAGCCCTGTTTTAAACAAATGGTTTTGGTTTTTTTTTATTCTAGTAATTACAAAAGACAAAGCTATTGTACAAGCTCTTACAAACAGTAAAACATTTCTTAAGTGTTACAGCCTGTCAAATGTAAGCAATGTGAATGTACACAGTGCCCATTACATGTACAAAAACTGCCTGGAACCACACGTCATTCATACCATATTAGTGTGAATCTCTGTTTCTCTAAATGCAAGTATGGTTTTGGAATTTTTGGTAACTAAAGAAGTAGAGGCCAGTTGTGATGTGAATCACAGATTTGCAAAAACCCTGAGGAAGACAAAATGGGAAAAATTAACATACTCATAGGAGCAAGGAGTGTTACAAAAGAAACAGAGAATCTTGGTGGAAGGAACATTCAAATGCAAGAATGGATTTGTCTCCATTGTTAGGGGAAGAGGATATATAATTAAACATACATATATCTAATAGGGAAAAGATATATATTAGTGGTATAGGAATGGCCTTATAAGGAAGGGGCTTTGAGACATTTGACAGGACTCATAAAGGGCAAGACAAAGCAGCACAGATGCAGTCAGAACATTAGAGTCTGGTCCCTGGGAGAGAACAACCCCAGAGAAAAGCAATGTTTCATTTGTACAGAGGTGTGATAGATCAGGATTTCTCATTATTTATAATTGTCATAATTCCTCTTTGAGAACATGGCAAGTGACTGATGGAAATCATGTGTTAACACTGCACTACTAGTTCAAAGTTCTTCAAGGAAAATAATGCCTGCTTTCTGTAGGGCATAGGAGTCCATTGTCAAAAAGGAAAATGAAAAGCCATCCAGGTGAGATATGAATAGAAATTAAGCTACTGCATAAGTCACCTGGAAAGGCAGCTGAGTCACCATCATTACAGGTTTTTTAGAATTATTTTTTATTAAACTGCAAGTGGGATAAAAGCAGGGGAAACTGCTGTCTAGAGTGTGGGATTTGTTGTTGAAGGGGATATTTTTCCATTTTACCCTCCATTATACCACTAAAACAGAATAAATGATAGAGTTGCTCTAGGTGTAGACAACTGGGGCCATTTTTGACGATATTCAGAACAAAACCATACAGAGCCTCCCTGATTCGGTTCTCATTATCTGGCATCTAGCAGTAGAAGTTGCAAGTTTCATGCAAGAGCACAAGGCTGGTGCTTGCTGTCTGCTGCAGTTTAAACACTGATCTAAGAGAGTTTTCTGTTCTACACAGAAGTGAATTAATTAAAATATGTGCTTCTTTGAAAGAAGAGGGATTCATTTAAATTCCTACCAGAGGATGGGATCAATTCCGGTGGTGGACAGATGACACTTTCAAAAAGCTTTCACAGTAGCTCCAAGTCATGTCTGCTGCTTCCTAAAATGCTGAACACTATGCATTATTTCAGGGCCTTTATTGTTTGAGCATGTTAGAGGGGATTATGTGTAGTCCTGTGCTTCTCAGTGGCTTTAATATTGCTACTCCTACTCTGTCCCGCTGACATCGGCTGTAAACCTTTTCAGACAATTACTGCTCATGCCTGTTGTCCTCTGGCAAGTAGTTTGTAATGCAGGACTCAGTAAGATTTCTTTTTAAAGGACTTTGCCTGCTTGCAAGGTCCTCCCACTTTCGTAGTACTGATTTCCTCACCCAGAGATACATGAAGGGACAGTATCCACACTGATGCTTTCAGTCGTACAGACTGTATGTTTGTGCATTTCTGCCAGTCTAGATCTGCCAGCAAAATTAACAGAGTTACAGATCTAACATTACAAAAATAGCAGCAATATTAAATGGTGAAGTCATATTGTTAATATTTATTGTTCAGACCAATATTTTAAGTCATCTTCATAATGTGTTACAGCTTTCTGAGTGGCTGAGATGCCATGTCAGGTACAATCAATGATATGCTGAATGTGGATGTGTTTTCAGAAGCTGATTTTCCTTTTCACTATAAATAGCTCATGGTAGATGATGGTCCTTAGTCATATATAAACATTGTGTTGGAGTTTAGAGAATTAACATACAAGCAACTTTCCAGTTGCCTGCAATCAACTTTTCTGTTTAAGCTAGATTTGCATTTACATCCAGAAGTTCAATCCATGTCACTATCAAGCTGAAATAGGAATGAGTTTGTTTAACAACACATATCATACATACTTGGGAATATGAGCAAAGATAATGAACTGTTCAGAACACATACCTGTGTGTCAGATTCGCTCAGAGGGAAATTATTAAGAGGTAGAAAACCACCTACAAAAGTACTTGTCATCCATCTAGTCTAATCTGATAGAATGGAAGAGCTCTTGCTCTTGCATAAAATTATGTACTAATGTACGATTTCAGTCATATAGGGTTTTTTCCTAATATTATATCATTAAAGCCATAAAAAGGGAGGGGGGCCACTGGGCCTCTATTAAATCAAGGACAAGAAAACATCTGCAAGAAACAGCCCTCTCTGAAAAAATTAATTAGACTTCTTTCCCTTTGAAATGGTATAACTCTTAACTGTGCTACACATAGAAATGCAAATAGATTGTGAAGCTCTATACCCAAGTGTGCTTTTCTAATATTGGTGAGCACTTCCTCATGTGAGTACTGAAATCAGTGCAATTATTTGCATGATTAAATGGTCACCAGAATGATTAACAGTGCAATAACTGGGCACCAAATTAACATTAAGAAATACGTCATGATTCTGCCCCTACTAGTATGGGTAGGACATTGCTCTGCAAGAACTGAGACCAAGTGTGCTGTTATTCATCATATGAAAGGTGGCAGAACCTGTCCTCAGAGGGCTAGGTTTCTTGAAGCAATCTGGAATAAAAAAGCCCTTTAGATGGTTACACTGTGAAACCATTATGGAGACACTGACCTTGAAGTCAGCTGTACCATCTACTTGAGTTAGGGTACATGGGCATGTGCTCTACAGCCTCATGTTAGTTGTTCAATGCCAAGTCTGGTCTGCTATCCAGTTCCGTTTTCAGCTACACAGGAAGTTCTGTACCTCTTCATCAGCAACATCCAGCAGCAAAACTGCAGAGGTGGATCCTGATTCTTATGCACAAGTATATTCCAACAAACTGGCTGCATTTATCCCATAAAAATGTATCATTTGGGGATTTTTGTGTAGTAATGTAGAAAATCCAAATAACTTAGCAAGCTGTTTGATCAAGTAGTAAATGAAATATAGTTGCCCAGTGTTTGTAGAGTTTTCTAATGATGAAGAAGGGTGGTCTTAATCTGTTTTAATCACAGAGTGGCACTCAGTCCATTGGCACAGAACCGACATCAGGGTGAGATGGAAAGAAGTCACACAAAATGTGTTAGGGCAGTAAGAGGTGAAAGAGAGAGAGATTATATTGCATTTAACATTGAATGAATTTACATGTCAAAAAATACAAGATGCTTGGCAATTTCCTTTTCCAGTGTTTCATTTTAGAAGAACAGCTGCTCTGTTTTCTTTTGCATACTGAATGGAAAAGGGAATTCTTGATTTTGTTCATCAATATCTTTTGTGGCATACAGATTTTGTCTAATTAGGGATAGGTGAGGGCCTGAAAGAAAGGATGCTAACCCGTTAAAGTGAAGGACATTGCCAGACCATCTACTGATGTGAATGGGAAGAGCTCCCCTTGGAGGGAGCAGGGCTGTGCCAGTTGGTACACCAGCTGAGGATACATTTTGCGAGTGCAAGAGAGACAGATAGTAATAGGTGAAAACTTAATTATGCTTTCCTACCTGCTCAAGTGGGCTTCTATTTTATGAACATTCGTTGATTTTACTCATGCAAAAGCGTCTTCAGCATGTTCAGTGAGTTCTCTTGGATGAGTAAAAATGTCTCAGGATCAATGAGATTTTTAAGATGGGTGGCACTAATATGAAACTATATCAAATACCAACCATTGTTCTGCGTTGTTTGCTGTGTGAACCGTCAGAAAGAACAAACTTATCTATAGACTGAAGAGACCCATTAGTAACATTGCTCCACAGCTTTTGAATTACTCACTGACATTTTCATAACGTGGCCTGATTATTACGTAGAGTCCTTAAACAAGAACGGTTTCTTTAGCACTGATTCAGTTTAGGTTAACTGAAATGGGGCACTCTGGATTCTGGTGATTTTACTTGTGATGAGAAGTTCTGGCCCCTGAGAAACGTAACACGAGTGAAAACCACACAGCTGACCAAACAGACTTCCACCTAATTTTATTGCTCTTATTATGCTTTAGGTCCCTTTTTTTCAGTTTGCCATTCATACTATGTGCTTCACTCATCAGCAGCAAAAGGCAGTTATAAAATGACAGAATCATGCTTGGGTTGGAAGGGACCCCAAGGATCAAGTCCACAACCTCCGGATCTGTTACTAGGCCAGGCTGCCCATGGCCCCGTCCAACCTGGTCTTCAATACCTCCAGGGACGGGGCATCCACAACCTCTCTGGGCAGCTGTTCCAGCACCTCACACTATGGAGTGCTGCAGCAGCCTAAGGTCTGGCTTTCAGAATGAAACATGCACTAATTCTTACCTTTTTGCTTGTTGAACAGTGTTGAAAATGCATCTTTTTTCTTTTTTTTCCCCTCTGTTTTTTAAAAATGTCAGCAGTGTCTGCAGTCACGGTATTCCTGTGGTGTTAATGCTGTGTGTTGCAGGTACGACTCTGATGGCCACCTGACCAATGCCACATTCCCAACTGGGGAAGTCAGCAGTTTCCACAGTGATGTTGAAAAACTGACGAGAGTGGAACTTGATACTTCAAACCGGGAGAACGTGGTCACAGCTACAAACTTCTCAGCTACTTCTACAATATATACTTTAAAACAAGGTAATGAAGGCATTTCTGTTATTTCTTTCCTAGTCTTCACATTTCAGACTCTGAATATTGTTGCATTCTTAACTGTTTGATTGAAAGACACTGAAATTAGTTCATTTGTTTCTTCCTTGTTTCAGTACAAATAGCTTGATAGTACTTACATTTCTCCTGAGGTTCCTACCAGGAACAAACCACCAGTGAATTCTTTTCCTCCAAGAAAAATCCCGTGGGTAGATTGTAGTTATTGAAATCTCTGATGTCTCCAAGCTTTACATGCTATTAACCATGCCAGTATCTAGGGGAATTGGATTGACCCACAATACACCAAGCTTTGTAATTCTGAGAACTGTGCCCAAAGAGTGATGTGCTCTGCTGCTGTTTTGGTAGTGAAATGCCATGTTTGGCCAGTGCCATGAATTCTTTCTGGTAGTTCTGTATCTGATGGCAGCACGTGTAGGAAGGAGGAGTTGATTATTAAGGGTGACTCTCACTTTTGTCTCTTGGTCCTAAGCAAACAGTAGAACTCAGTCTCAAGGCTGGCCATCATGGAATCTCTGCCTCAGGGTCCTGATGCTAGTGGGGAAGAGTAGAGGAATAACAGTGGTCAGAATGCAGCCTATGAGTTCATGTATTGCTAGGCTGAAAGCAAAACTCTTTACTCCTGCTAGGAAACCTGGACAGCGGAAATCATTTGTCCCAGTGTAATAAAGAGAGGCTTAGGCATGCGTGGATGTGTAGATCTGGAGGTTACAGATTCCAAAAATCACACTGCAGTTAGTGCATGAACAGAAGTCTGTAAACTTGGGACAAACAGAGCCCCGTTTTCTTCATAGACCTGTGAATCTGAAATTCTCTGTATTCCCTGTTTTTGATTGTTGTTTTTTTGACAGATAACACACAGAATATCTACCGGGTCAGCCCAGATGGGTCTCTGAGAGTCACCTTTGCCAGTGGAATGGAAATCACGCTTAACACAGAGCCTCATATTCTAGCAGGAGTAGTCAGTCCCACTTTAGGGAAGTGCAATATCTCCCTTCCTGGAGAGCATAACTCAAATCTCATTGAATGGAGGCAAAGGAGGGAGCAGACCAAAGGCAATATCTCCACGTTTGAGAGAAGGCTAAGGGTAAGGTTTCCTCTTGTGTGAAGTGCAGTGTTCCCTTTGAAAGCCATTGAACTAAAATGATGTTGAAATGCTCTACTTTGTAAGAAGTGTAATAGGAAGTTTGTATCAATGGTGGGCCCCAGCCATGAATTTCAAAACCAAACTCCTCCAATACTGGCAGGGGTGTTTAATCTCTGTTTGATTTTGGTTGTTAGACTTGACCTCAAGACATAATTACTTCTTTTCTTCCTCTTCTTTTTCAACTAAGAACTTAATTATGTCTTTGAAAGAAGCTGCGAGCAACAGACGAATCATAGTTCCTGCAGTACAGTGGCAGACTTGGAGCCAGATTCTGCCTCTCAGATCTAACCACCTTTTTGTTCTGGGGGATACAGCAGGTTCCAGCCTCTGCTCAGTGCAGAGGTCTCTCAGGGCATACCTTGGGTGTCTGTGCCAGGGCATCTCCTGGAAGCCGTGATGTTGTAGAGCCTCCCCATCTATCCACAATTCTGTGGATTCTGCCCTCCACTGTGTGCTTTCAGCCCCCCTACTTCCCTCTGACTGCATTACCTTACAGCTCTAATACAGAATTATTTTAACAGTACATCCATGGTTTATATTTATTTTCAGGAGAACTCGCAGTTTACAATGACAGATGGTCAACATTCAGCATTTAATTAGGTAACACCAAGGCTCAAAGAGACCACTACCTTGCAGGATGTTTTTTTTACAAAATCAGTTCTGTTTTTCACATGAATAGTCCATAAAGCACCTGTACCAGCAGTACAACTGGGAATTCTGGACTTTAAAATATTACATTATTAACTGCAACATGGCTGGATGAGTATTATCTCTGAAGGTACATCTGTTAGCTCTAAAAATATGGAGATGGATACTAAATCACTGGATTTCTTTTTGGTTATCATATCCCATATATTATCTTACTTTAAAAATGTATCAGTTTGATTTTCAGCTGTGCTTATGAGGTAGAAACAAAAAACCTGTATGATGTGGCCATGATATTATCACCATGTGTAAAAAAACATTTGAAACGACATCTTTCAGACTTGGCAATCACAATTAATTACTTACAAGGGTCTTGCAAGTGGGAAAAAATCTTCATGTAGTGTTTCTTGCTCATCCTCTGACTGCATCTGCCCTATCCTAGTGTTGCTCTCCAGCTCTCTGTCCAGGGAGGCAGCTGAATGTATTGTCATTGCAAAGGTGTGTTGTGAAGATCATAGGATTGAAGCTGTGGCCTCCGTGGCTCACTTTATCTAATCAAATGGTTCCTGTGTGATTTTGTGCTTAAGTAACTGTATGGCACATATTTTTTTAAAGATCTTACGGAATAAAAGTCTTAAATGGAAAGGACATTGCCAGTAATCTGTTCTGCTTACGCTGCCAGGGCCAAGTTGTTCATCACCGTTACATTTCAAAGTACTTCATCCTGCACAGCTTCCCTGTTATTCAGTTTATGTTTTCTGTTGTTGAAATTGATTACCAGTTCTTTTATCTCATTTTCACTTGCCTCTGCATGATCCTTAATAATGCTTGCCAAAAAAGGGAGGAAACTGGTCAGGATTAGATGGATTCTGGCTGGAGGCATAAATTTTTCAGAGAAATATTGAAAATCTGAAGCTATCTTGAGTTCACCTGAGGGACCTGCCTCCGAGTCAGTCTGCTGGTGCATAGAAGCACTTGTGTTCTCTCTTCCTCCTCCTTCATCTTCCCTCCAGCAAGAAAGTTTGTGGTGTAAGAACAATACCAGTATGCCATTTGTATGCTTTGTCCTTCCAGAAGTATCCACTAGCATCACAGCAGCTGGACATTGCACTGTTATTTCTGTGAATTATAGATTTCCTTTTATACCTACCCAAGATGATGGGGGGATTAAGCATTGCCCTTGCCTACCCAAAAGAAAGTCAGCTGCCTACATTATGCTGTTTCCCCTTCTCTGACTGCACTGAGCTTTAGAGTTGTCAGGGCTGTCAGAGAAAGGCTGGAAGAAATCTGGTGGGATAGCAAGAAGGATTTGATAGCAGAAGTATTCTGCACATAAGATAAACCATGCAAATAAGCACAGAAGACAAATGGATTATTGAGGCTGCTATGACCGATGAATAGAGTTTAGAGGAGAGGTTAAATACATGATTCCCAGGCTTCAGCTTTAGCACTGAGATGTTTGCATGGGGTGCTGATGGAGCTGGGAGCCAGCGCTGGTGTAAAGAAGCCAGAACAGTGCAGCTGGAGAGGGAGGCAAAGAAGCAGCAGAACATACCCACAGACAGCTGTCTTTCTTGGAAACTTGTTTATAAGAGGAAATGTGCAGGACATCAGGAGCAAAAATGCCACTATGTACAGTGAATCAGTGAGCCAATACTGAAAGGCACTTAAGGCCCACTGTTGACAAATCCTTTCCATGAGTAGTGCTTGAAAAAAAACGTAGCATCAGTAGCAGCCCTTATCGAGGATGAGGTTCTGATGAGACCTACAGAAAACTTCCAGTGAGTTCTAGTGAGTTCCAGCTTGAAAAAAAAAAAGTTGTTAAGCACTTAATGTGCCATGACTGACACAATAGGAAGTGTGTGAGAAAGCTTGCAATGTAGGGCAAAAAGAACTATGCTGAACTTTGAAAATAAATGTAAAAAAAAGCTCTGGGGATTGGACTAGTTCTCGGTGGAAATGAACAGATCTGCAGGAGCCCTCAGTTAAGGGAAGAAAACAGTACAATGGAGAAGTTTTCTAGGGAAATAAAAAAGCATAGAAATCAAGTTTAAAGATGTCACTTAAAGATCAGTCCTGATATACTGATATACTGTCACTGAAACAAACGGCTTTGAATGCTAAGAGGTGTAAATTAGAAGGCAGGTCACTGGGGATGAGATAAAGGATGACCTAGTTGAAGAGACGAGAGCTATTCCTTTTCTGCCAGTTCCTAACATTTTTAATTCCTAACCACAATTAAAACCCATCTTGAAATCATGTTAGTTACTGTTACTGTTAGTGTAAAATAAGTCGTGGAAAGAGGCCACTGTTAGCACATTCCCAGTAATGTGATAAAAGTTGGGTTTTGAAAAGAGTGTGTTGTTTTTTTTTTTCCATGATACATATTCCTTGCTCTAGAATTAAAGCAGAAATGAGTGTGTTAATGGAAATGCTGGGAAAGACAGCTAACTTTATCTCAGCATCTAAATCAATGTTGGAAACAGGAATTAATCAGAGTTTTCCTTTAAGTGCAGAACTGCCTGCCCTGGCACTTCATGAAAGTACATAAAACAGTCCGTAGGCATGTATGCATTTTATATTAATAATAAATCTATGTACAATCAGGCATTTTAACATCAGTCTTCATCTAGCAGGACTTCTTTTTATCAATTGAAGTGCTATTTTAATTGACTTCTAAAAATGAAGCAGAGCTGTTGTTAAAACCAATGAGCATGGTGCATAGTAATATACTGATTAGAATTCAGCTCTGCTCCCTCCTGTCTTTTGCATAAGTTAGAGGAACTTGGCGTTGGATGCAGGCCAGGTTTTATAACTGAATATCTACAAAATTGAAAATTGAATGCTTGGCCAGTCTCACCTTTTTTTTTTTTTTTTTTTTTTTTTTTATTACTTTTTTTTTACTTTTTAAATAACAAAAATGGAATTGACTCATTGGCCTCAATTCAAGTCAAAAGTCTTTTGAATTGAGGCTTTGACAGCTATGTTTATTATCATATTTAGCAAATTATCTCCCTTTATTTACCAGCCTTGCTGCAAGTTGTAATGGTAAGGTCAAATCCTCAGTCACCCTGTATCAGTTTGCGTTGACTCAAGTCCAGACACAGACAAGGAAATACACAATCATCTCATCTGATTTCACATTTGAGACAGTTTAGATTTGAGAGTAAATGTCAAGAGAAGGTTTATGCAATCATTGACAACTGCAAAATTTCTGGCAAGCAAATCAATAGAAATAGAGCCAAAAAATGTTTAAAAATATATAACGTATCTTGTTATGAACTACTAACATGATTATTGAAATCAGCTTAATTTTCTCCCTGTTTTCATCAGCTGGAATTTGGACCCAACCCTGCTTTCAGAAACCAGATTTTACTGGCTTGTAACCACACACATGAGCTCCAGTTTCTCACAGGGGCTCCTTGTAGACTTGCACATACATTGGAGGAGTTATCTGTAGGAAGCCACTGGGATTTGAAATCAGCATTTCAATGACAGCATTGAAATGCAGCCTGCTATTCGTGTATCACTGCATCTCGTCTTAAGAAGGATGTTAAATTTAACTGAAATCTAATAGAAAAAAACAAACACAAACGGCTTAAAATACAGAATATAAAAGAAGCAACGGCGCCTCTCCGAACCTTGTTTTAACTATGACAGGATCATCATAGAATCATAGAACCCTTGGAAGGGTTGGAAGGGACCTTTAAAGGCCATCTGGTCCAACCCCTCTGCAATGAGCAGGGACTCCACAGCTCCCTCAGGTGTTTCTGAGGATGGGGCACCACCACCTCTCTGGGCAACCTGTGCCCAGGCCTCCCAGTGCATCGACTGTGAGCCTTTAAATGATGCTGCTATTTTTCTTCACTGCTAATTCTGTCTCTCTGTGTTTTCCATTCTTATTCATTATATTGTCTCTGAAAATTAGATTGCAAGCAATTTGTATTCAAGACTTTCATTTCTTCTAGCTGCATTTTACAATAATAATAATAATATTAGCAATAAGAGCATAAGTATGTACATATACAGTAAATGAGCATGAGCCAGGGCATATCTCCTGCTTGCTTTTCAGATATTTTACCACCAAGAGGGTTTTTTCAGAAATTGCAAGAAGTTTGCAAAGAAATATATTAACGTAAACTTAATCCAACAGACTGTATACAAGCAAATATAGTTGAATTGAGCATCACATTTTACTTCAGCTCCTTAACTATCATTAGAGCATAAATTGTAATAGTTACAGCAGTCTACAGGGGTGTATAGGTATTTTACAGCTATTGTAAATGAACAGTATTAAAGTTAGACATGTGTGTATATAAAACCACAGGAATGGTAGTTGAAGAAAGAACACCTGCATCTTCTAGATTTTCAAATTATTTTGTATCTAAAAACAGAAAAGGGAATGAAAATAATGTTCATTCTAACCACAACCACCATACCATCGCAGCTTGAATTATTAAACAGATATTTTTAACTATTTACTGCAACGCCTCCAGCTCTCAAGGAGAGGCAGGCACTGTGCTGTGCAGTTCTAACACCTGAGCTGACATCATCTCAGCTGTAAGGAATGTATTAATCCGAATACATTAAAGCAAGTGATTAGGCAAAATGCAGTCAATTAATACAAAGAGTTCATTGGGCATTGATCTGAAAATGACAAGTCAACGAGCAGTGTTTTATGGTTCCCTAAATTCTAATTCAGAATTAAATGAAGTTGAATAGTGACTGCCCAGTGGCTGAGTGATGTTAGGAGGTAGATGGTGGAAGCATTGGAGAAGCATATTTTGTCTTCAGAAGTCTGCCTTGTCTTTGATTTCTGATTGCCCCCCTCCTCCTCCCCCTTCCCCTCCCCATGGGACTACAAGCACTAGCAGGTCGAGGCAGTCAGCCTGATCCCCTGCCAAGGCACCAGCTTTCACAAGCCTTGGGAGTGGGCTGCTTTTGTGAAGTGTGAGGACACTAGTGAGTAGGGTCTTTGGGAGCCAAAAGCACAGCTCTTCCTTTTTCACATTGGTATGAGACCTGGATGGGCTGTTCCAAAGCAGCAGCTGACCCATTGGCACTAGTGGAGCTTAGGAGAGAGGAGATGAGTTAGGAGAGGTTTGTTAATTTGTGGGCTTAACTACACATCTTTGGCTGGGATCACACATCCTGTAGGAGAGATGAAAGCTGAAAAGCTTGGGAAAAGAAAGCTGAGCATATGGAAATAGAAAGCATGCTGCAGTGTGATATGTGACACTGAATGCAAGCAGCATTTTATTCCTTGGTCCTCCTATTTCTCAACTGAACGTTTTTCTATCTTCTTGTCTTTAGTGTGCCCTACATTGTCAGTCCTACTGTTAAAGCGTTGCCTGTTCTGATCAGAGCCGAAGCAGAAATGTTTCCGTCATCTGGAATTAAGGTATATCATCTTCTTCCTCTGTCTTTGTTTTTAGGCCCACAATAGAAATCTGCTCTCCATTGATTTTGACCATGTCACCAGAACTGGAAAGATCTATGATGATCATCGAAAATTCACTCTTCGGATTATGTATGACCAGACAGGGCGGCCGGTTCTGTGGTCACCCATCAGCAAATACAATGAGGTCAACATCACTTATTCCCACTCTGGATTAGTGACCTATATCCAAAGAGGAACCTGGACTGAGAAAATGGAGTATGATCCAAGTGGAAACATCGTTTCCAGAACATGGGCAGATGGCAAAATATGGAGTTACACGTACTTAGAAAAGGTAAATCACTTTATAAGTGGATTGTTGTAGCAACACAAGAATGTTTGTTTTGATACAGGCACCATATTGTGAGCTGTGTTAGTATTTCATCTCTTGCAATAGGATATAAGACTTACAGAAAATGCATACCTAAACAAATGTCTCAGACTTACGTGTCATCCTTTCAAGTCTGCCATAGATTAGTTCAGAAGAAAGTTATCAGCACCTCGGGTTTGTTTAATCAGTTGGTAAAAAGGCTCCCTTTTTACACTTCCTTCCTTTCTTTCTCTGTCCAAGCACAAAGGACACTCTCACTGATGAAAAATGCATTGCTGCTCTGGGTGACGTAGTCAGAAAAAAGGCATTGAAGTGGAATTGTTTCCTCCCAACAAACACAGCTCTCTTAAGCCAGAATTACACAACGGTGAGGGCAAGCTAGCGCCTGCTCAGTGCTCTGCTGTCAAAAAGGGACTGATCCTGCCAACAGAAAGATTACTTTACTATTTATGTTGCCCATTATGGGGAAAAAACATAAACTAATACAAAATGAGTTATTGCCATGCTTTTATAGTGACTTCATGTCTAAACTGCCTGAGTGTTGTAATTTTCATTTATGACTGTAGGTAATAGTCATGAAATGGGGGAATAAACACTGCATAGTCTTAGGAAGAACAACATCACATTCGTCAGTAGCAGCATCTCATTCAGAATCGTTTTGTCTCTCAAATCCAAAAATCTGTATTTTGAAAGCTTTCACAACTCAGTGTGAGATTATTTTCAGTGTCCTTCAAATTTTTTTATTTTTGAATGGCAGCATCTCAGACTCCTCGATATATTCTGAATTTGCAGAACGGTTTTCTGAACCTGTTTACCGCAGGGAATGGAAAGGAAGGGGCAGGTGAGGTAAAACTGATAGCGGATGTGACACGCAAGAAATCCTATAGCTTTGAAGTTATTTATATATTAAAAAGTTCCAAATGTGTACTTTTAAGATAAACTTTGCTGTACTTATTTTGAATGTATTTAAGCCTGATTCTCAAAAAAAAAAAAAAAAGAAAGAAAAAAAACCAAAACCTTAAATCTAACCCAGAGGAAAAAAAAAAAAGATGCATAAAAATGTGATTCTTTCTTTGTCTGCATGCAGTATGGTTCTCGCACTTGTTAACAAGATTGGCAAACCCTGGAAGCTTCAGAAGTTCGGTTCAGATAAATTTGTCAGGGCTCCTTTTGTCTGTATGCTCTGCAAATTGCAAGTAAACAGGCATTTGTGCAGCCTCCAAATATTTGGGCAGCTTGCCTTTTGGAGGAATCTGTTATTTTTTCTTTGGGCCTAATGGACCGTAATTTTGGAAAGATGTATGTTTTTTTTATCCCTCCAACTCCTTTGTCTGCTCATAGTTTATGAGGAGCTGATAAATGAAGTCGTACGACTTAAATCTGTCATTCTGCAATCCTGCACAAGTGGACAGATCCTGATCGTGTCGAAGCAAATGACAGAAGCTTACAGGCCTAGGTAGCAGCAGTCTTGATTTATGCTGCAACTTGTCATTAAATTATTGAAAGTCATACACACCATGGACATAATCTCCCAGCTATTTAATGTAGTTCCATCACAATTTGTTCCTTGTGCCAGAGGAAGATGAATTCATTGTCAGAATTAGACATGGAGATATAATTTTGTGGCCCATTAAAGTCAATAGCTCATTGTGTTAATTAAGTAATGATTACTAAATGTTGTCTGAAACCTCATAAGAACCAATAATTCCTTTTATCAAAAAATCAATTACACAGTTCTCTTCCAACGCCTGTTTATTTACTTTCCCATCTATTAGCACCTGATGAGTTAATTATGTATCTTCACAAAGATTTCCACTTCCCAGGGCTAGTCCCAGCCTCCTGTGTTTTCAGAGGCGCCGTGATGGTGGCCCTGCACGCAATTCTCACTTTCCCTTCTTTGGCTCACGTTGCTCCGTTAGCCAACGGCGTTCCCAAATCTCGGCTCACTCCGAGATCCCTTCCCAAATCCTGCCGCTCGCTGCCGTGGGAGCTGGCCGAGGGCTGTGTGATGTGTTGGGCACAAATGACATCTAGCGGCCGTGCCCAGCAGTTGCCTGTTCCCAGCAGAACCGCGAGGAGTTGCCAGCGGCTCTTGGACTCCATGTGGCACCAGTCTGTGCCACTGACCAGGCTCTGGCTGCTTTGGCAAAGTGACAGTTTTGGGAGATGTTTCACAGGGAGTCCGCCTCCAAAACTCCTTAAAACAATTAGAAACCCGTCTGTGCAAATAGTTCAAAAATCTACTACAATATTATTAGGATGAATAGGGAATTATTTTGTTTTCTCTTTATAGTGTCCCCTAATAAGCCAGACAAGATACTCAGCCTCCAACCATTTTATGGACTGTCTTTTCATTATTCTGGACAAAAGTGGAAGAGCCTCAAAGTGCTGTAAAATGACACAGAGGGGCACTAAAGTTGTATTAGTGATGTTACTGATCTTGTTATTCATACCCTGTCAATGGCAGACAGCTTAAAAACAGGCACGGGAGCAATATGTAGAGAGCAGCATCACATTGGTGCTAGGAGAGAGTTCAGCCAGTACCTTACTGCGGGCTGGGGACCCAATCTTTGTATATATTTTAAAACAAAAACAAAACAAAAAAACAGAGACAGAAGTAGTCACACCAAAGAACTTGCAGTCCATTTTCACCCATCTGTGTAAGCAGAGTTAGTGTGCATGCGGTGAGACAGAATGAAGATGTACAAAAAAGGGGTAGGGCTGGGCTAGAACTGTGCACAGTTCCAATAAAAGGTAAACACCATGCACACAACACTGAACGTTTCTCCTTTCCACCTCCTGTAGAAACATCTGCTGGTACAGATGCTCTACCTAGGAGTGAGGTCCCCCTCTGTTGGGGGGAGTTTCCTTAGAGGATGACCTAAATGTTTCAGAGTTGTGCAGCAAGTCAGCATGAGGCTGAAATGCCAGTGAGAGCCACATCTGCCTTCCAGTTTGGGGGTCCTTACCTCCAGCCCTATTATCATTCTCCTTCTGTTCCACGTCACCTTGCTGGCCAGGTGAATCATCTGCTGGAGCTGAAAGCTTGACCTGGGGTTAAACAGACAGTAAGAGCAACCTCCAAGAGCAGCTAGTTGATGAATAATAAAGCGCTTGATCAGCCTCTTACACCGCCATTCCTGTCTGATTGCAGTCTGTGATGCTCCTGTTGCACAGCCAGCGCCGCTACATCTTTGAATATGACCAGTCAGACTACCTGCTGTCGGTCACCATGCCCAGCATGGTACGCCATGCCTTGCAGACCATGCTCTCTGTTGGGTACTATCGCAACATCTACACCCCGCCGGACAGTGGTGCGGCCTTCATACAGGACGTCACCAGAGATGGACGGCTTCTGCAGACGTTGTATCCCGGGACGGGACGCAGAGTCCTCTATAAGTACTCCAAACAGTCTCGACTTTCTGAGATTCTTTATGACACTACTCAAGTCACATTTACCTACGAGGAATCTTCTGGCGTTATTAAAACCATACACTTAATGCATGATGGCTTCATCTGCACCATCAGATACAGGCAAACAGGTTTGTCTAGCTATAACTACTTTGCTAATTTTTTTTTCCCTGATTCTGCACTTACCTGTCATGAAATTCCATTATTTTTATGTCTACAAGTTCTTATTTTCTATGTTTCAATAGAAAAATGTGTGTGTGTGTCTACGTCTGTGTCCACAAGCATATATAGCTGCCCCATTTGAAATACGGTTTTCTTTTTATTGCTTGGTTCGGAATAGCTCTTACAGTGTTGGATTGTTTTTATTCCACTGTGTGGATATTTGCTAAATACTAAATCAAGTTGTTTTATTGATTGCATTTTCAAGTTTCCCTGTTTATACCATAATGTAACATAAATTCAAGAGAACTGTTCATATAAGGAAAGAGATCACCATGGAAAATAAATTCAGTTTAGAATTATCTTGCAAGTAAATAGAAATCATAATTATGAATAAAAAAGCATTCATTTAAACAAACGTTAATAAAATATAAATATTACATAGAGCAAACATTAATAAAAGTTTGTGAGAGAATAATCTAACATGGTTAGTGGTACTGCCTAAGACAGTCAAGTAGCAATGAGGCTCAAGGGTTCATTTGAGTTCGCAGCTTGTCTGTGCCAGCTGTGTAGGTTAAAGTATTCCATAGACGTAATTCATTTTTCTTCTTGCTTTTGCTCTTTCTCCTGCTTGTTGTGCACAGGTCCGCTTATCGGTCGCCAGATCTTCAGGTTTAGTGAAGAAGGGCTCGTCAATGCCAGGTTTGACTACAGTTACAACAATTTCCGTGTCACCAGTATGCAGGCCATGATAAACGAGACGCCTCTGCCCATTGATCTGTACCGTTACGTTGATGTCTCTGGCAGGACTGAACAATTTGGGAAATTCAGTGTAATTAATTATGATTTAAATCAAGTTATTACCACCACTGTGATGAAACATACCAAAATTTTTAGTGCCAACGGCCAGGTGATTGAAGTTCAGTATGAAATTCTCAAGTCAATTGCTTACTGGATGACCATCCAGTATGATAATATGGGCCGGATGGTGATCTGTGATACACGCATTGGTGTAGATGCCAATATCACACGGTATTTTTATGAGTATGATGCTGATGGTCAGCTTCAGACTGTGTCTGTGAATGATAAAACCCAGTGGCGCTACAGCTACGACCTTAATGGCAACATCAACTTGCTGAGCCATGGAAACAGTGCACGCCTCACTCCTCTGAGATACGACCTTAGAGATCGCATTACCAGACTTGGAGAAATTCAATATAAAATGGATGAAGATGGTTTTCTCAGGCAAAGAGGCAATGAGATCTTTGAGTACAACTCTAACGGTCTGCTGAACAAAGCATACAACAAAGTGTCTGGCTGGACTGTTCAATACTGTTACGATGGTCTTGGAAGACGAGTTGCAAGCAAATCAAGCCTGGGACAACACCTGCAGTTCTTTTATGCTGATCTCTCCAACCCAATACGAGTTACTCACTTGTACAATCATAGCAGCTCAGAAATAACATCTCTGTATTATGATCTTCAAGGTCATCTCATTGCAATGGAATTGAGCAGTGGAGAAGAATATTATGTTGCTTGCGATAACACAGGAACACCTCTAGCCGTATTTAGCAGCCGGGGCCAAGTCATAAAAGAAATTTTGTACACTCCATATGGAGAGATCTACCAGGACACTAATCCAGATTTTCAGGTTGTCATTGGTTTTCATGGAGGGCTCTATGATTCTCTCACCAAATTGGTTCATCTGGGTCAGCGGGATTACGATGTTATTGCTGGTCGGTGGACAACACCAAACCATCACATATGGAAACACCTGAATGCTGTCCCACAACCATTCAATCTCTACTCATTTGAAAACAACTACCCGGTTGGCAGGATCCAAGATGTTGCTAAGTATACAACAGGTAAAAGTAACACATTTCTCATAAAAATACACTCTTTGGTGAGATTCTGGTATGGATTCAAGATTCCAGAAATCCTTTGCAGACATCTAAAGTTGGTATTTGGCTCTAATCTACTGTACTCCTCCTTTGGGAGCCAACACCTCACAGACCTTTATCTGTTTTTTTCAGTCTTTTTGGTAACCAGTAAAATAATTAATAGTTGTATCTGCTGCTTTTTTAAATGCTAAAATAAGGAGATGAAAATGTTTTTTTCCATTATAAATAGAAAGTAAGTACACTATTGATTTGATTATTGCCATGCTTTATAATCACATGATTTCTTTCCTACAATAAATGCTGTAGCCAGTATAGAAAACAAACTGACATGAAATCATTTTTCTGCGTAGCTTGGATTTCTGCAAACTACACTGACTTTTTCTAGGGTTTACATGCCTCATTTCCAGAATCCCTTTTTTTGTTTGTCTGTTTTGTAGACATTGGAAGTTGGCTAGAGTTATTTGGTTTTCAGTTGCACAATGTACTGCCTGGGTTTCCAAAACCAGAGATCGAAGCTTTGGAGACAACATATGAACTTCTACAGCTTCAAACAAAAACCCAGGAGTGGGACCCTGGAAAGGTTAGCAAACACTCTGTTCAGTCACTTCTGTTTCTAAAGTAAGCAGCTTGATTAGAAAATGTGGAGACCAAGGAAACAATGTGGCTGTATTTTTGCGTGATTGACAAGACAAATAATAGTCTAACTGCACTAGAAGCCTTCATGTTGTCGCATTATTTACTGGCATCAAGTGGAGGACAGTTTTAATGAGAAGCTTTTAGGCACACAATGAAGAAACTTTGCAGCAAATGGATAAAAGCATGCACAAATTGAACTGCGAGAATTTTATGGAATTTAAGAATTAAAACAGCTGTTATCTTTTAGTAAAGAAGCCTCAAGAGGTGCGAAATCACTAAGAATGCAAACAACTGTACAAGTTTGCTCCTCTGCATAGTTACTGCAGGAAAATAGTAATGTTACTACAGGTTTGTGGAGGGTCTGTAAAATTCCAGGGCTAATTGTCACTGAAGAAGTGCTATGGAGCAGCTCACAGGGTCCAGCAATCACTGTAAGGGCCAGCTACTGATGTTCTGAGCGGGTGTTCATGTTTTGCATTTAATCATAAGAGCATCTGTTAACAGAGAAACATAATTTTACATAGAAGAGGTAGAGTAGATGCCTTTCTCTTATTCAGCCAGGAAAAGGAAGCATAAAATGCTGTGAGTTTACATCAGCAGTATTGAATATGCTTCTTTTCCCATGCATAGATGACCACATAGAGTGCAGAAGGCTGGAGGGTCATGTCCATGGAGCATGTTAGTGCAGAATTGTCAGAGAGATATTGAAGAAGCTATAACAAAGGCACAAGAAGAGTATAATGATATATATTGTGTTGATGGACAGACAGCTGGAGGGAGATTTTCTTCTGCACAATGTGAGGGGAAGATCTACAGATCTGATGTGCCTACCTGGTTCCTATTCTTCTAGCGTCTTGAGACCTTCACAGCCTGCCTTCCCTGAAGAATGGGCAATATAAACTGTTAGTGCTGTTTTACAGAAGATATAATGAACAAGTGATTTGCTTAGAATTGCATGAGAGTACAGATTCAAGTTCAGATTTCCCCATGCCTACAATTCAAAAGACCAGCTGTTAGAGTGACAACAGGAGAGAGGGGAAAAAAAAAAGGGAAGATAAATATGAGAATAGCATTTGTGATAAATACGTTTTCTTTTTGTTTTCTAGAAACTGAAGAGTCCAAGAGGTATAAAGTAGTACCTTTGGTAATTAGAAAGCCTGTGCGTACTTCCAGGCTCTATAGATGTGTACGGTGGTTTGCAAACTAATTGCAAATCCATTTTAAGCAGTTAAAATACTGGTAGGGACTGTGAGACTGTGAGATTTCTCTCCTGCAAACTTTTCTGGTGTTTTCTTTTCCAGACTATCCTTGGTATTCAGTGTGAGCTACAGAAGCAACTCCGAAACTTTATATCCTTGGATCAACTTCCTATGACCCCCAGGTATAGTGATGGCAAGTGCTATGAGGGAGTGAAGCAACCGAGGTTTGCAGCTATTCCTTCAGTGTTTGGAAAAGGCATCAAATTTGCTATCAAGGATGGCATCGTCACAGCAGACATTATCGGTGTGGCTAACGAGGACAGCCGGCGCATCGCTGCCATACTCAACAACGCTCACTATCTGGAGAACCTGCACTTCACCATAGAGGGCCGGGACACGCATTACTTCATCAAGCTGGGGTCTCTGGAAGAAGATTTGGCCCTAATTGGCAACACTGGAGGACGACGCATCCTGGAGAACGGAGTGAATGTCACAGTGTCGCAAATGACTTCTGTGATCAATGGGAGGACTAGACGCTTCGCTGACATACAGCTGCAGCACGGCGCACTGTGCTTTAACGTTCGCTACGGAACGACCGTGGAAGAGGAAAAGAACCATGTCCTAGAGGTAGCCAGGCAGAGAGCTGTGGCTCAGGCCTGGACTAAGGAGCAGAGACGGCTGCAGGAGGGGGAAGAGGGGATTAGGGCATGGACAGATGGAGAGAAACAGCAGCTTCTAAACACTGGGCGGGTACAAGGTTACGATGGATATTTTGTTTTGTCAGTGGAGCAGTATCTCGAACTTTCTGACAGTGCCAATAATATTCACTTTATGAGACAGAGTGAAATAGGCAGAAGGTAACAAAGAAAATCTCTGCCTTTGCGTCACCAAAGACTGCCTGTTTTTAAACGTAAAATGGTTTATTGTATTGGTTTTTCTAGATCAGAACTCTGTATATATAAATATAGAGGAAAAAACATATCCAACTGCCTTTAAATGTGACAGAAGATGGTATTTTAATATTGTTCGTTTAATTCTTCAAGAGATTACAGTGAAGATTTTTAGTTCTTGTGTGGCAGTATTCAAACCTTTCAGAAGCAGAGCGCGCAGGGCAGGTGTGAGCGCAGCATGCTCTGTCTTCTTCTAAAGAAACACTACTTTTTTTTTGTTGGTGGTGGTTTAATAATTCACCGGTTATTTAAGAGGTTACAGAGCCTGATTCTGCAACCTATTCTTACTGGGTAGTTTTATCCCATTGAGATCTCCCATAGGTTCAAGGGATTGCATACAAAAACCAGACTGTGTATGGAAACTTTGTAGTTGCTCACCAACCCTGCACATGTCATTTGTCACAGCTGTGATCTATGGGATTTTCTAACCCAACTTTTATTAGATACAGTACGTAAGTACTTTTATTGGATGCAGCACTTAAAGGCTGCCCCACATGAGCTTTGTCTTTGCCAGGCCATAGCTGCCTCTCCCTCACTCGGTGAGGAACACCGTGTTGTGTCTGCATCTGCGTTCAGGGGCCTCTTCCCCAAGATTTCCCCTGGCACTGGTTGTGGAGCCCAGCAGCACACGTGGAGCTGCAGATCTTGCAGGGGGTCAGGGCTTGCCCTGCACCACTGGGGCTCAGCTAGCTTCCAGGATTGGCCAGAACAGCACATGGTGAGCAAAGAGTCAGCACGAGCCTCCCACCTACATCAGTAGGCTCCAGAATGGGCTTTAGCTCAGTGCTTTTGGGACAACCTTCACTATTCAGCCAGGAGGGTCCGCGCGGTGCAGCAATGAGCAGCCGCACGGGATCAGTCCTGCCTGTAGTCCTTGGGCCAGGACCTTCTTTTCACAGATCATTGTGGTGGTGTTGGGTTTAGGCATCATGTTATTTTCATCTCAAATTGATAATCCCACTGTATTGATCATTATTCCAAGCGTGAAGAAGATTGGTGGGTTGGGAGTTGATGAACCTAAGTGTGGATAGTACATATGTTGTACAAACGTAGAACATTTCGGGGATGACTCTTCACTTTTCAGCTCAATATCTAGAGCTCATAGAAAAGCATTATATTGCATGGGCAGAAACTTTTATTTCCCAAGGTATCATGCGCTGCTGGCACAGTTCTCTCATAGCAGAGTAGGAGATCCTGTTTTTTCACTTGTCATTTTAATAGACCTGATTATCACGGGCAGGGGGAGGGTGCCTGGGAGAGAGGCTGGGTAAGCACATTTCCTTTGCTGACTTTCCAAAAGAGCTAGAAGTCTTGTTATAGAACCTGTTTATCTGTAACAGTGATGTTATTGCACATTTCTTTCAAAACAGACATGGTGAATATATTGAAGCAATTTCTGCTCACATTTCCCGAAGCCAACAAAGTGCTTTCTTTGTCTTTCTTCCCTTTCAAATTTTCATTTTTTCACCTTGTTTTTGGGCATGTGGAGCAGATTGTACCAAAGTTAGGGATGAGCCTGAACTGGAACCTGAGACCTGGACCCTCTGGGTCTCAGCCTCACACAGACTCCCCCTACTCCTTCTGCAGCCAGAGCAGCTCTGGGGGTGCAGAGTGTGGCTCAGAGGTTCGGGGTCAGGTTGAGCAGATCCTGGCCCATTGACCACCCTCCATCACAGCCAAGGGGACCCGTGGACCAAAACGCATTTTGCTCAGGCTCATCATTAACTGTTGTACAGGATTTGGAGCTGTCAACAGCAGTTCCGTTTGACACAATTTTCCATAAAATCATGGAGAATTTGAATACCTCCACACCAGCCTAAAAATGGACCTTTGAATCCTTGAGCCTCTAATATGCTTTTAATCAATGGAAAAATAATTTATGAATTGTATATAGAGAGTGCATTCATAAACGTGATGATGTATTTTATCACTGATCCAAGATGTCAAATATTAGAGTCTATTTTACTTATATTTTAAGCAATTATAATTTTTTGCAATTCAATAATGACGTATCATTTTCAAACTGCTTTAAATATCCATTATAAACAAATTTTTGAAGCTATTAGATTGAACTGTGCATTTCTAGTATGTAATACCTATTTAGTTAGCTTGTGCCTTTAGTTTCTTAAAGTTATATCTGTATTATATGCAGGAAATGCACTTTGTATTACCTACAGCTGTGTTTTTTAATACTGCCTTGATTACTGTTGTTCTCAGATAATGCCAAAAGGTCGAAGAGTGGGAAGTGTTACAAGTTTGTCTCTAAGAGTAAGTTTGGCATTTTCCCTGTTCCTGGGTGGACAGTCTATGGTATCTTTCTGAATAGTATTTCTTACAAGAATCTGGATGAATGAAGAATCTGGTGATATTACTCGGCCCTGTTAGAACAGGAAAAAATGCCTTTATCAAAACAGTTTCAGAAATTCAGGAAACTAAAAAGAAGTGTCGTGTCGAGTCGGCAGTGCTAAAGAGCATTCATTAATGAATGAGCACTGGGGGCTGAAGTCGTAGCACTACATGGGCCAGCAGTGATTTGTGAGAACTGCAGCTACAGCAAACAGCTGTGGGCCACTGTGTCCATGAACAACCTCAGATGGAGGCAGGGAACAGTTCAGTCTCCATTTCCTTCTTCTAGTAGCTAGAATAATTTCTGAGCATTGGGTTTTGTTTTGTAGTTTTCCTTTTTTCCTTGCTTTTTTAATTTTGCACTATCACCTAGAGACCCAAATGAGTAAAAGTAAACAAAGGAAAAATAAGTGCATGGAAATGTGTATCGTTCTTTAAATCAGATAATTTGATGCTAGCGTTCTGCACTGCAAACAAGGTTCTGCAAAAGGAAAAAATAAATAAAATTATAAAATAACAACATAAAACAAAAAATAAGACCCACTATTGCACACTATCCTGTAGCCAAGTACCTACCATGAGAGACACGTGCTGTGTATTTTTTATGACAGCCAAATCAATAGTGTGTACAAGTAATGTTTCCTTTGCATTCCTATTTATTTAGCCAGCCTACAACATTTCAAAGGTATAAATATATATATAGCTCTATATGTAGAACATAGCCAAATACCTATATATGAACTGGTCGATGTGCGACTCGGTGCTCATGTGCCGGCTGTTCAGGCCGAGCTCCGCAGTGCCCTCCCAGCTGCACCCTCCAGGCACAGCCTCTCCCTGCCGCAGCGGGCGCTGCTCTGGGCGCTCCCTGCCGGCGTCCTCAGGGCTGTCCGTCCGTCTGTCGGGGCGCTGCTCGGTGCTGTGGGAAGGCACAGAGCTCGGGATGAAAGAGGCGGCAGAGGGGCTGCGCTTGGAGCTGAACGCAGGCAGGGTGCTGCCGAGGTGCTGGTTGCTGCGGGGAGCACAGCTGACACCGCCGGCCGCGAGGGTTTCCCGACAAACACTGACTGTTACTCAAGCTGTCCTTGACACAAACCATCACCAGGTCACAAGCGTCCCGGCTGCGAGGAGAACCACGGCTCAGCAGGAGTGGGGCGCTGGCATCGGGCACGCGCCCAGACGTTGGCCACCAGCCATTCCTTGTCTAAGGAAACGCGTTCGGCAGCTCCCAGTTTTTCCTTAGATCTCGTGGTGGACTTTAGCCTTTTAATAAATGTTAGTATATCAGATTGTGTCCTTGACAGTATTTTACTTGTATGAACCATGATAACACATTAAGTCTTCATACTCTTCGGGCAGAAGTGTCGATAAAAGAGAAGAGAAGCATAGCATACGATATATGTCAAAGTAACGTTCCTTTTTCGCTTTCTCATGAACAGTAAAATGTTTACAATGTATGCCAAGATCTTGGTTTCTGTCCGACACCAGTTAGAGGTTCTGATCTTACAGAAATTGTGTTATAACGGCCTCAGCCTTGTTGCTAGGAAACAATAGATCCCAATTTTTTATTCCTGCTCTAACTCCTGTGCTGAATAGTGACTGGATACTGTACACGTTATGTTACATGGCTGCAGTTACATGGTCTGATGCATTTTGCTCTGGGTTTCAGACCAGAAGCATGCATTTTCTACAAGAACATCCCAGCAACACGCTGTAAATATTAAAAGTTAATATATTATGTGTCGATATTTGAAAAAGAAAGTACTTTGACTATTTCATTTTTAAAAAATAAAGGTGCAAACTGACAGCATGTGACGTTGTCTTATTTTAAACCACACCTTAGGGATTTTACTGGTTGTGTCACGAAGAAGTGCTTCCGTACATCAAAATGAGGTCCTCAAGGAGTACTTCTCAGTGTGAATGTCGCAGTGGGTTTGCTGGCAGTGTTGAATTATACTTCTGATTCAGGGCTCATGTGTACAACTCTTGTGGCACTACATGCTGGTCCACAGCTTGTTTCTGTGCACGGATTCTTATCAGAGCAAGTGTGAGAGTGAAAAGGCGTGTTGTTCTGTGCCTTTGCACTCCCAGAACTGAGTGGGTGAAGATAGTGGTGCTAAGGGACGAGTAGCATGGATGAAGCATCTGCTCGTTCAGTAGATCTGATTTCCCAGCCTGCTTCAAACAGGTGCTGATAAACTACTGCCTGAGTCTGTGCAAGAAAAAAATTTAAAAAAACAGCACATGCAGCAGAGAGGAGGAGAGAGTGAAGTGGGGGGAGCAGAAGGAGCATTTAAAGCTGAAGGAAGGGGTACACGGTAGAAAGCTGATGGGAGCAGCTTGGGCTGGGTGCTGACCCTGCACGAGGATTGTGTTGGGTAGATGAGGAGGCAGCAAGGCCAAAGGGATGCTGTAGTAAGAAAGGAATTTTTAAATGGCCTGGGATATTGATCTATTGCTGCAGAAGGCCTGTCACAGCCCAGCCAGGGAGCAGGGGAGGGTCTGCCTGAGGTAAAAGCAGCACTGTTTGGGACCAGCAGCAGCATTTCCTGCACTGGGCAGGAGACTGCATGGGGGGGGGCAGGACACAGAGTCCTTTGGTACATCCACCAAAGCAGCAGCCAGAGCCAGAGCCAGAGCCAGAGCCTGCAAATGGGAAGTGGGAGGAGAAGAAGCTCCAGGGCAGGTGGGGACGGAGCAGTCAGTGCTGCTGAGCCCAGAGGGGCTGGTAGAAAGGAACAAGGAACAAGGGGACACAGATGTTTCTTGATGAAGCCCTGCCCACGCAGCTCTCTAAAAGGATCTGTAGCTCTTCCTATCAGAGTAAATGCATGAAATCTGTGTACTTGCCATGTTACTGTGCCTATAACCAAATACCAGCTCCTTTCGTGATGGATAGTGTGAGCTTCTCTGACTGTCTGCAGCTTGTTTAATCATAGCATCATAAAAGCACAGAATAACAGACTGGCTTGGGTTGGAACAGACCTTAAAGATAATCCAGTTCTATCCCATGCTGTGGGCAGGGACACATCCCTTCAAATCAGGCTGCCCAGGGCCCCATCCAGTCTGGCCTTGGGCACCTCCAGGAATGGGGCACCCACAGCTCTCTGGGCAGCCATGTCAGGGACTCATCACTCTTGGCTGGAAAATTTCCTCCTTATTTCTGATCTAAATCTCCCATCTTTTAGTTTAAAACCATTCCCCTTTGTATAATCACCATCACATAAAAAGTCATCCTCCCTCCTGTTTATAAGCTCTCTTTAAGCACTGGAAGTCTGCAAGGAAGTCTCCCTTGAGCCTTCTCCAGACTGAGCAACCCCAGCTTCTTCTACCTGTCTTCAAACAAGAGGTGCTCTAGAGTATAGCAATTCCAGATTCCAGAGGGAACCCAAAAGAAACAACACAGCCAAGACTCTATCTTAATCACTCACATGCAGTGTTCTCAGCTTTAGCTCTAAAATGCGAACTTCTGGCCTATTTTATCTATTTTTAAAAATAACATTGCTCTTCTGGAGTCACCCATAGTCAAAGCAGCTATCCTCATCTCACTGCACCATAGGATTTGCACCACTCGGCACTCGAAGTCAACAGGACATTTCTATAGGGAACAGCCCTCAGGCACATTGCTTACCGCCATGCTTATCACCATGGTTCTGTCATTTACAGGAACCACTTCTCAGCACACCCTGTCTTAGTTCCTCTGTCCTGAGAAAGCCAGCCTAAACCAGGATTCAGGCACAGCACTCCAAAAGCAAAGGAGCTCCCCCAGTAAGCACTCTGCAACTGCTTGCACCTGGAAAGGAAGGTTTGCAGGAGCAAAAACCTGGAACAGCCATAGAGCATCCGCCACAGACATGCAGCAAACTGGGAAACCTTTAAGGCACAGACAAGAGGTGAAGGGGTTCAATCAGCACAGCCCCAGAATCAGCTGGTGCTGAATGTTGTGCTTTGAGCTGGCAGCGTTCAGCACTGCGCCTCTCCTGCTGACGTTTGCTGAATTATCTAACAGTATTTTAAATTAAATTAAAAAAAAACAGCTTTTAAATATTTTATTAAAGAGTAAATCATGCTGAATCTTTCACTGTATGGCACTGTATGAAGACAAGACCCTTGCTTCAACCAATCATAAGTAGCAGGGAGACATGGAGCAAAACATACAGAGAGTAAAATATGATGCAAAGTGGAGGGGAGGGGAAGCAGGACATTTCACTACATGTGAAATGTGGCCTTAATTTAGACAGACATTGAGTAATGAACAGCAATTGTCACAAATTTGCAACAGCATTGTCCACCGCTTCATGTTATCACACAGCTGTTTATTTATTGCATTTACTCCCATTGAGGGTTTACAAGGAGCATTTTGTGCTTCATGATGAATGTTTTATTGCTGCACTTCCTCTCTCTCATTCTCGTTCATACACACATGGCCACTTATAGGAATAAAATAAAAGATAAAACTTGCAGCCTTATCAAATCCAAACTAAAATGCTGCTTCAAGTGGCTGAACCTTGCTGAGTGCCCGTTCTTGCTGCCCTTTTAACTCTTCACTGTTTCCTTTTCAGTGAAGCGACAAGAAGCCAGAATCTGGGACAAAACAGCTAAATGGATTACGAAAGTCTGTCTGCCTGCTTGGTAGAGTGGTTGGGTGATGCCCCGCAGTGTAGCCTGGTGCTACAAACATGGCTGCAGCCCTGCCTTTCCCCATACCCCTAGTTCACAGCTTGCCCCCATCTGGTGGGATTTGATCTGTCCTGATCTCCCAAGCCTGCAGCCTGGTGGTTTTGGAAAAGCTCTCTACATCTTCTCAGAAATTTCCAGCTTTCCAAGCTGTGCTGAAGAAGTTGGAAGTACAGGCATGAAACATTCAAGCATTAGACATTTAAGCAATACAACCTGCTCCATAGAAGGAGAGTCCTCCACCTCTCTGGGCTACCAGTTCCAGTGTTCTGTCACCCATGCCATAAAGAAGTTCTTCCGCATGTTTCTTCCCATGTTCAAGTTCTAGGCCATTATTCCTTGTCCTGTTGCTATACATCATCAAGAAGAGCCTGTCTTCATCCCTTTGCCTCCCACCTCCCTTTACATATTTGCAAACATTAATAAGACCCCCCTCAGTTGTCTTTTCCCCAGGCTGAACAGCCCCAGATCTCTCAACTTTTCCTCATACGAGAGATGCTTCCGGCCCTTCACTACCTTTCAGGCCCTCTGCTGGACTCCTTCTAGGAGATGCTGTCTTTTTAGAACCGAGGAGAACTGGACACGGCATTCCAGATGTGGCCTCACCAGGGCAGAGCAGAGGGGAAGGATCACCTCCCTCGCCCTGCTGTCCATGCTCACCCAATTGCGATCAACATTAGCTGTGTCCTCTGAAATGAGTGCTTTTGTGATAGGCCCATATCTGCTGGTGAAAAGTAACACAAGGCAAACCAAGAGGGCTCCAGCACATCGAGTCTGTAGGGAAGTGTTCCCCACTGCCGGCCAACCCAGGCAGCTCACCAAGTTAAGCAGTCAAGTGCTCCAGCACTGGAGGCAGTGCTAACCCTGCAAGGCAACAAGTCCTCCAGATGTAAGCCTCTCCTACAGGAGCCCAGCAGCAACTTACTAAAACATATGACAATGAAATAAAAGTAAATATTGTGTAAATACATATACATATATATATATATTTTATTTACACGTGGTGGTGACTTTTTCAAGTAGAGAAAATATTGGAAAAATAAAAAGTATGAGGTTCTCCACTAGTGATTGTTCTCATTTACTCAGAACGTTACTTGAGCTTTCAATTCTTTGTGCAAATTATAAATTTTGTACATGGAGACAGCACTGAGTGGTTCTGTTGGATTGCAGAGAGCCTGATATGATGGGAAATCAGCTAGTGGGAATTCTCCTGAGGCCATGTCTGGAATACCTTTTGGAACTGTACGACAGTCACACAGACACCAAGTCTGTGTTCAAGGAAAGGACACTCGATATAAGCAATTTTCCTAAGCCTACAAAAGGGGTCTTGCCCAGAAGAAAGCATAGAAGAGTTGAAAGTCAGTTTATGTAAAATAGAGTGACTAGTCTTGAGATTAGAAAATATTTTGCACTTAGGACTGTAAAAAAGAAAAAAAAAGATATGACACCATTTAGTTGTTGATGCTTTTCTCTTAGCTCTTACCAAAAAAAAAAAAAATTAAATTTAAAAAAAACATTCTGAAACCTAAAGCTAACTTTGAGCTAGAAATACTATGAAACACATTTCAGCAAATGTTACAAGAAAACTCACAGAGTTGTACTAACTATCATAGCTTGTGCTGTTCTAGAGCAGGACCGAAGGCACTACTGGGAGCTAGGGTTATTCCACGGGGAAACGTCTTCATGATGGCTGCAGGTAGTCACGACCGTCATTCCTACCTAGAGAAAAATAATCACAGAATTACAGAAGGATGAAAAAGAACAGATCAGATGACCCACCCCTACCAGAGCCACAGCAGTGGGGAAGGCAAGTATCTACCTCTGATGTATTGCTCAGGAATATATGTATTTAAATGGATTTTCTCATCAGGTTGAAGTCCCTAATGGGTCATATTTTTGGCTCATTCAGGCTCAAGATCACCACCCCCATGGAGGGCCCTGCCCCTCACAGCTGAGGCTGCCTGCACCCCATGGGTACCTGGAGAACACCTGGCTTTCGCATGGTTGATGACCGGATGCTTCAGGGGTGTAACAATGCCCTGGTCGGGTTTCTGGAAGGCTGAAATGAGGTTGTGCATTTTCCGGAAGAGCCGCCGGTGAACCCCAGGTGCTGTCTGTGAACCCAAAGGTGAGAGGTGAGGGGAGGCGAGGCAGTCAGTGCCCTGGTGTTGAGCTCTTGTCCTCAGAAAAGCAGCCATGCGTTGGGATGGAGCCAGCCCTTCAACCTCAGCCCCTCCAGGTGCCAGCCAACAACAAGCTATGAGCCATTCCTGCTCTCCTCCCATCCAAGTATGATTCCAGCACTGCCTCAGCAAATGAAACTCAGAGCCCGTGGTTCTTGCTGAGCACATTCTCAAGTGGTCTTTTGCTATTTATGATCCCAAGTCAAGGCAGTCTGCAGTCCCCCTGGGAAACACCAGTAAGATGACTGTGAGAGCTGCCTGGCACTGACCATTCACCTCACACCATTAATCTCAGGCACAGATACTGCCCAATTGCAAGCCTTTAAGCCTTCACTGCTTTTCAGTGTGTTCACTGAGTACTCCCACCCATCTTCTGGTGCAAAGGAAGCAGTCAGACATTACCTAGTTGATAAAAAATGGGATTTTTTCGATCATTTTATGTTAGCATCTTTGCAAATGCTGCACTAAATCCCGCCTCCACTGCTATATGCCAGAGGTTTCCATTAAGAGGGATTTGACTGGCACTGTTTTCATTTCCCTGCATTATTCCTGAAGGATGGATGTGATCTGGGGTTGCTCACACACCACATCCCAGAGCAGAAAGCAGAGACGGGAAATCTCCAGCATCAGCTTTGAAGGCACATCCCATGGGGACAAGAAAGAGGGCAAAACAGAGACTCCTGTTCTTAGCAGTGGAGTCCAGCATGGTCTTGACACTGCTTGCACTAAGGTTTACTGTTGCATAAAGGAATAGTTAGTGTCATAACTAGCACTTCCTCTACAGAGGTTTCACTGAGATTCTTGAGCCCTCAGAACGCCTGCTCTGTGAAACACAGATGAAGTTTGCCTAAACACAACCAGGAAAAACCCGTGCACAGGAATCCAATGGATACCATGGAGGAGCAGGAGGCCCATTCAGCTCTGAGCACTGCAGATACTGCTGTTATCAAGGCCAAAGCATGCTGCGGCCTCCCTTGAAGCTCCCTTGACAGGTAGATGCCCTACGGGTTCCAGCACTGCTCCAGACCCACTTGCCAGGCAGCACAAATCCTCAGGGTGTCCCTTGTGCAGTAAGTTGTGAGTTCTTCCTCAGCACCGCTCTCAGGGCTGAGGCAGATAATTACTGAGCTGCAGCAATGTGCATGTTTTATCTCTTGACCTGATTCCAAGTAGCACCACGACTCACTCCTGTCTTCCAGAGCATTGCAACCACTTCTGCTAGCACAGTAACCAAGAAATTACGCCTGCCTAGCAATTATTTAGTGTCTGTAAATCAGGCTTAATGTGCAAACAGAAATACAATTACAAAGCAATATGGAGATTACATCCAAAGAACAAGATCTTCATAAAAGAAACTGAGGTTATCATTTAGATTCCATCAATCTAAATTGTCATCTGTATTGCAAATAGTGTTACGCTATGCCTGAATTACTGGTTTCTTATCAACCAAGTGAAAATACACTTTGTAACAAGTTTCTGAAGAGAAACTGAGTTTAAAACACTGTGCATTGAAAAGTATTTCCTTAAATATTCTAGTGTTAATGGCATGTGAGATAGAAAGGAATTGAATACTGATTGTGCTTGTCAAATTATAAAAACATAATATTTTTTTGCCATTGAAAATGATGCAAAGTAATGCACTAATGCATTATGCAACAGCTGAAATGTAACAGGGAATTAATTTATGAGTTCAAGATTGTCAGAAGTGGCACCAAGACATCTTTGTGATGGGTTCGCTCGACATCGATTACCTTCAATGAAAATCAGACTTTGCAGAAGCATGAATAATTTGAATACATTTCATTAAATCAATACCAACACCAAACAGGATACCGAAGTTTTCAGAAAAGAGAAGCACACACCTCAGCACTCCAGGACCCAGATTCTGTCTTGGATACCCTGTAGGTATAAACGTAACCCTGGTGCCTGTGAAGGAAAAAAAAAGCCAACAGCTATTTATTCCTCATTTCTACTGCCAGGTTTCACTCCGTTACAGGGGAGTCGGCTCATCTGCTAACCCCTCCTTAACAATAAATCCACCCATAAACATTCAAGGTCAATAGAAAACTGGAACTCAGACCAGAGGCAGTCTTTAACATACGGGGTTTTTTTGGATGAGGGACTGGTCTGACTTAGATCTGGTCTGGCAATGTTCTGTTATTCCAGGTTAAGTGACAATGCTTTGATTCCTGCTTCAGCACTTTTATTTTTAATTTTTCTTGACCTTCTTTTACTGACAGACACCAAGAATATTTTCCCTGGGGGGAAAAAAAGTAGAAATAAAAAGTGAAATATTGGCATATAAACCTCCTGTTTTATGATTTATTTAAATGCAGATGTTCCCAGAAGAAATTAACGTGACTGCAACTTGTTTGGAAAGCTAGAACCACAAAATCCAGATAAATTACCTTTTGCTTCGTGAGTACAGTCTTAATTCTCAAACACCGAATGTGAAAGAGCATGAAATCTTTCTTCTTTTTGAATCTAATTTGAGTCCCTCGAGAAGAAGGAGCCATCCACTAACAGCACAAGGTGTTCTGATGTGCAGAGTCTGTCCTGCTTCTCTTGAGAGCCCAATGCAGCAAATGATTTACATGGTAAATATCCAGAAATCTAACTCAGAAGCAGAGAGAACTCACAGTAGTTCCACGGGTTCAACATTAATTTAGGCAGTGTCAGATAAGAAGACCATATATTACACTACAGAGATATACATGAATACCCAGCAGGATTTTAGAGGCCATTCACTCTATCAGCATCAGTTCTTCAGAAAGCAAAAATACACTACATTTCTTTCCAATTATACACAGTATTATAGTAGTTATTACAGAATAGCAGAAAGCGTCAATGACACAGGCACCGTATGATTGCAATTACTTACGCTCCATGTCATGGCTCCTGGATGAATCCTTGTTAGCAAGTCATTAGAGCAACCTCTGCAAAGCAGGCTCAGATATAATTTACCTGCACAGGAAGCTGTTAGCAGTTGTCACACTGCTGTAACCCTTTGAAGTTGGGGCAAAAATCCCTGACATGATTTGTGAGTTCTCCTCACCACTCCTCACCTCCCAGAGACACAAAACTGTTGCCTCCTGCCAGGAATGAGGGGACCAAGCTCCCAGCACCACAGAGGGACACCAGGAGCAGAACACAGCCCCGCCATCCCATCACAACCTCCACTGCTGCAGCCATCAGGGCTGCAGATGGGCCCGAAGGAGCCCGAGGTGTGCAAAGCCTGCTGTGCCTGCAGCAGGAAGGAAGGCCATGGAAGGAGAGCATTGCTGCTCTGTCTGTCCCATGGAACCCCAGCCACTGCTGCATGAGCCTGGCTCAAGCCTGGTTCTTTAGAAGCACGTCTTTATGAGCCACTGTATATGTTCATGTTGAGGGAATTCAGTGCCATCAGTGCCCTTAGACTATCTTGCACTATTATGTCCTTTATTAAAACCTCCACAAGCTGTGCCTGTGTCTTCAGTATGTCACGATGCTCACTCCAGTCTTACTCCTGGAAATCACAAGGGGCTTCCCTGCATCTGTGCACATAGATTGCCAGTCAGTGTATGGTTACTGAAGTCAGGACTTTACAGCCCACAGTGCTCTGGGGAATACCAGGGGCATCTTGATGTTTTGTCCTCTCTCTTTGAAGGCATCTAACCATCTCCACAATTTTTTTTTTTGCCTCTAACAGGATCAGTTAGTAAAAATCTAGACTTTCTTTCTTGCCTCCTGCTTTTGATAACACTCTGTGCATGTTACCAGTGCCTGTTCTTTGTTCTGCTGAAGCATTCCAGCTGCTTCAGTTTCATTAGAGTCTGATTTTTCCAGACATGGCTCTTTCTCTTCCTGAGAGATTGCATGACTTAAAGACTGGGGTGCTGCTCTGAAATGTCTGGTGGCTCCTAGCACTCTGCTAGGTGGGTTTAGTAAGACACTGGTAAATAAAGGTCAGCTTAAGTAATGTCAAGGACCAAAACAGGGTGAGGTATGCTACAGACATCTATCTCGTATAAAAAGAATTTCAGCTATAAAATCACTCACTCAAGTCTAGAGAAAATATAAAGGGTAGTTCAGATAATGAGACACAGAAAAAGCAACAAGAATTTGGGACTTTGGAGTGCTGATCCCTGCCCCGAGCGTGGGGAGAATCTGACATTCCTATCACCAGTGGGAGCTCTTCAAATCATCTGGCAAATCTACATTTTTCTCAGGTGAGGAGAGACAGCAAGGCATGAAGGGGTTCCTGGTGCTTAAGTTGAGAAACACAGTGTTATCACCTGCTGTTGGCTCTGAAGACATCAGGAAAGAAAGGCACGCAGCAGGGGGTCGAAGGCCCAAGCCCAGCACCCACCACCCAGCTCCTTCCAAGGAAACGTGCAAGGAGTGAGGACGGATTTGTTAAGGAGAGACCAGCTGCTCTCCGTCAGGATCTTTGTTTCCACAGAACAGTGGATTACAGCTCTTCTGGTAAGTATTCTGCTAACAAATATGATCTTATCAAAACTTTCTGTTAAGTAGCAGGAACTTACTTCATTGCCACTTCAAAGTGCTTTCTAACTTCCATGCATAAGCAAGCAAGCGACATCATTTTGACGTGTCAAGCTCTTTTCAGTGCTACGTGGGCACTGCCTCGGTGAGAAGGGTTTCTGTGATTCAAAGTACCTAATATTTACTGAGATCAGTGTGGGATGAAGGAAGATCAAGCTGTTTCTCTTAAAAATTAAACAAAAAAATTAAACTTGTGGTTGAGCAGAATGTTGCCTCTGAAACTGCAGATTACAAAACATCAGGCAAAAACAAGAGGAAAAATACACTTATTGGAGCATTAGTACAAGGAGATGAGAAAATCCCCAGCCACCATTAGGGGACAGCTCAGCTGTCTGTATTTTTCTTGATTCATGGCAGATAAAAAAGCTCCCAGTGTGACACATTGGTCCTTTATATAGTGTGGCCATGTAAACTACATGCAAATAGCAGAGACAGGACAGCGCAGGCACAGCACTGTCATCTGGGGCCTCTCATACTGGCACACCTTGAGGCATACCAGACCCACCCAAACCTGCGCTCAGGGCCCTGTTCTCATCTACATGCTGGAGAGAATCATCAGGAGATGGTCACGTCACTGAGAGAAGGGCTTGGGAGAGCACTCACAGTGACACTGCCTTCCCAGCGCTTCTTGGGAGAGGAACATTTCTTTGCACCTGGGACAGACCCAGCACAAGGCTCCCTGCCCCTTCTCCTGGCTCAAGGACTGGCCCCAGCCCTGCTCACAGTCACAAAGCTCCTCATTCACACCCAGGAAGCTCCCAGAGATGGGAGTGATCCTGAATCAACAGCAAGATGAACAGTGGCCCCACAGACTCTTGATCAAAGGCAAAAATCAGAAGTAGAATACATCCATTGCTGTAAAGACAATACTAGGTAGCACTTGAGAAACAGTAGTTTGGTCACCACTGATAATATTTTTTTAATTTCATTTCATTTCACTTTTTTTTTTTTTTTTTTTTTAATTCTCCATAAAAATAGATGCGTTATACCAGCTGGGAACTGTACTATCACGACCATGCTGCAGTAAGTTAACTGGGAAAACTTTGTCAAAGGGAAATGTAAAAAAGTTGCTGTTACAGAGAACGGTCCATTTTGTATTATAGCTTTTTTCTTTATAGCTGGCTAATTCCTCCCAAAGAGCTACAAAGGCATCATTCACAGATGACATACCGAGACAGCATCTGTCTCCCCATCCTCTCCACTCCTCCTTTTCAACTGCGATCAGGCTTGTTAAAGCTTCATTTGCTCTAGCAGGTGAATAATTACAATCTTCTGCACTGCTGAAATAGCCGGAGGATATCAGCTGCATGCTGCAGCTTAAAATTAACCATGACATTTCAGCTGCATGGTGTATTTTAAAATCATTTCCAAATGTTTTGTGTCTCAGTTGGGAAATTTTATTAAACTAATTTGTATTCATTTCTGGGTCCAAAATGGAGCAAATATAAAGGGAGAAAGATGGAGAGATGAGGGAAAGCCGGGTCAGCAACAAATGACATCAATTTCTTCCTCCTCACATAACTTTTATTTGGATGTCTTTGCAATGTACTAATCAACTCCTCTCACCTGGTGTACTTGCATCCTGATCTTCCTTGAGAATTTCTCTTTATGATATTGCTTAGGAACAAGCTGCGGCTGTCAAGCAGTGGCCCGCAGCACTGCACGTTGACCATGCTTGGTTTCTTGTATGTTCACCACATCTCTGCACTTCAGGCTGAAATTTTTTTCTTGGGTGTTTGTCTCAATCTTTTTTGAAGTATGGGAAATGTCAAGAAATGCCATGAGAGAAAAAGGGAGGCTGCTTCATAAGCTGGGCAATGGCACAGCAGTGAGAATCAAAGTGCTGGGCTAGAGCTGGGCCGAACCAGGAAGGGGAAGAGGGAAATGAAGCCTGAGGGCTTCAGCTGAGGGCCTTACAAAGAGCTGGAGGTGGGGAGGGCTGAAAAAATCATCCAGAGAAAGTGAACAGCTAGGAAGCAATGGAAAAAAACAATGAAACAGCCTGCAGCAATTCAAGCAGTCAGCAGGCTGTACAGGATAGTAATGCTGAGTATTCTCAAAGAGCTTTCCTGTCCCACTCTCCTTGGGAAGCCAAAGCCAAAGGGTGCTGCAGCCCTCAGCATCCTGTGTCACAGTTTCTCAAGTGTGAAACAGAGTTAGCAAGCTCTTCATCTCACAAACTGAGGTAGTGTTAAACCACATACAACATTATGGAGATGAGTACAAGAGAGCCCATGGGGGAATCACTACTTCTATATGCAGAGCAGGGGTTGGAGGACACACAGTATGCAAGAGACTGAGTGGGTCTGGTGACAGCTTCTTCCACCTCATCCAGAGGAGCCTGGTGGCTCCCACATATCTGCTTGGGCACCAGCCCCAGG